TCCTTTTCTAAACCTTGCCAAAATACCGTAGATAAAATAAACACAAATCAATAAAAATAAGTAAATAAATACCCTAATAATACACGTAAAAAATGACTGTTGTGCAGATGTGACGTGTGTGCGTGTGACCAGATGTAAGATTAGATATGCACGTACACTTCTTTCTGTGTAAAAGGTAGCGAATCGAAGCTACGTTCAAATATTTTACTAACTGATACTTATGTCACCGTTCTCTTCCGTGTGCGTGTCACCTGATTCTAAAACGTACCGAGGCTTAAGACCCTTTCTAAAATCCTCTTCTGCTAGTTACTCTTCTTTTCTTTCTTCCTTTCTTCTCTTTCTTTCTCTCTCTTCCTCTCTCTCTTTCTCTCTCTCTCTCTCTCTCTCTCTCTCTCTCTCTCTCTCTCTCTCTCTCTCTCTCTCTCTCTCTCACACACATTCCCTCTCTCTCTCTCACATTCCCTCTCTCTCTCTCACATTCTCTCTCTCTCTTTCACATTCTCTCTCTTTCTCACATTCCCTATCTCTCTCTTACATTCTCTCTCTCTCTCTTACATTCTCTCTCTCTCTCTTACATTCTCTCTCTCTCTCTCTATCCCCCCTCTCTCTCTCTCACATTCCCTCTCTACCCTCCTCTCTCTCTCTCTCTCTCTCTCTCTCTCTCTCTCTCTCTCTCTCTCTCTCTCTCTCTCTCTCTCTCTCTCTCTCTCTCTCTCACACACACACACACACACACACACACATTCTCTCTCTCTCTCACACATTCCCTCTCTACCCTCCCCTCTCTCTCTCTCTCTCTCTCTCTCTCTCTCTCTCTCTCTCTCTCTCTCTCTCTCTCTCTCTCTCTCTCTCTCTCTCACACACACACACACACACACACACACATTCTCTCTCACATTCTCTTTCTCTCACACATTCTCTCTCTCTCTCTCACATTCCCTCTCTCTCAACCCCCCCCCCCCCTCTCTCTCTCTCTCTCTCTCTCTCTCTCTCTCTCTCTCTCTCTCTCTCTCTCTCTCTCTCTCTCTCTCTCTCTCTCTCTCTCTTTCTGTGGCAAATTCCCAATTTAAAACCAATTTTATCGATTTGCTATAAAGGACAAGCACATTCTTACAGAGAAACTAACATCGTTTCCTCCTTTCGCTGGACTACAAAAACGCTTCCTGGTTCTTGACCTACACTTGATAATGTGTCATTATTGCCATTATCATCATGAATAAATAATTTGCTAAGAGATGTAATCATATAATCAATGGCTTACGATATTCCAATGAATCACAATGAATGAAAAAATCAGCATTAATAATATCACACAAATAACGATGATAAGAAAAGATAATATAATTATCATGGCGTATAATCAATCGCTTTAGAACAGAACATATAAATTACATGAAAAATATTATTACCGCGATCTATAATACTAACCTAGTTATCCTTACTTGCGGGTTACCGGAAGTTGACTGGCTTTCTTCTGTGTAACTATGTGTAGTGACAGCCTTCGAAATACCGTTATTAAAATGCATCGATAAAACTTACCATAATACTCATTCCACTAAGCAGAGTCTTACACAAATCGTACATTTTTTTTAACAAATGGCTATTAAAACGTCCCAGAAACAAGCATTCAAGATTGAAATAACATTATATCAATTGAGATCGCATCCATGTAAATTTCAAAGCTAGATGACTAATAACAATTGAACACCTAATATGAGCTTAACACTAGTCTCCCGAGTAAGTCCTTGAAAAAGCGCCGAGAATATTATCAAACTTCACCTCATCAGCCATAATGTGAAGTCCCATCACAATCTTAAATGAGAGTCTACAGTGATTTATGGCAACGCCTAATTATGGGCGTGGACTTGCTGGCTTAAGGCTCCATCATCTGAACCAAATTTCCCAGCACCCATTACCATACAACCACTCAGGTGAAACCTCGGGGATTCTCCGAGCGCGGAATCGTTCCCTCTGCCCCAGTTCACAATCTGGAGCTTTGACCCCCATGACCTTGGCAACCAAGAAAGCAAGAGCTCACTGCGTCAACTCAACTTGGCGTACGCCGCTCCGTCTCACCCCCTGCGCTACGTGACAATTTTCACGTCGGTCTAATAAACTTTTTCCTTAAGTTCTGATCTCAATTTGGCCTTCCAATAGATTATAATTAGAGCCACCATTAAGATGATGCTCACGTCCGCCGAGGAGCGATCGATACTTCCGCTACTTGTGTTAGCTGCCACCGATCCAGGTAAATTCACCGCCATGTATTGAGGAATTTAGTTCTAGTTCATGATTTCCTTATAAGGGTAACATAAACCCACATTACAGAATCCTTCCATGGTGAATATCTATAACGTATAGACACCATTTAATAATCAAATATTTTTGTATACAAATTTCTCCATTAACTCTAACGCAACCATGTGCAGCGTATGTGGAGAACTGACCTTTTATATCATTCACTTATTGATCTGGTTTCTTTTTTTATCGTACCCTATTCTTATATGTCGAAATTGCCAGCAGAGTCTATTGTCTTGCCAGCCCCATAGCTTTTGGCCCGGTGTGCCCTCTTCTCACCACAAAGCTGACCTCGCACCATAAAGCATCTCAGTCGTTCATCACATCCTGGCCTACCTGTGGATTATCACTCGTGAAAGCGTTGATGTGTTTGCGGCAACACTATCCAACATTACAGAGAAAGCGACTTCGCTGAAGCTCATCAGGTGTCGCCCGTCACTGTACTTTGCCTGATCTTGGTTACTTTCGCCAATTTTCACCGAGAAGAAAACTCTCCCCTTTCTCATACCTGTCTGTCTGTCTGTCTGTCTGTCTGTCTGTCTGTCTGTCTGTCTGTCTGTCTGTCTGTCTGTCTGTCTGTGTCTGTCTGTCTGTCTCCACTCTACTCCCGCTCTCCTTTCCTCTCTCCTCTTGATCTCTCTTCTCTCTCTTTCGTCTTTCCTCTCGATCTTCCCTCTCCTTTCGTTCAACTCTCTCCTCGCATTCAACTCGCTTTTACCTCCCATCTCAACTCCATCTCTGCTTTTCCTATCTCTCTTCCTCTCATTCTCTCTATCTCTTCCTCTCTCTCTCTCTCTCTCTCTCTCTCTCTCTCTCTTCTCTCTCTCTCTCTCTCTCCATTTCCGACACGGTGTACAGTATATCAGACATCGTGCAACAAATAAATAAGCTTGTATAAACGATTCATTCAAATACCTTGCTAATTGGCCCGAGTAAGCGATGGAAACAGTCGAAGAAGTGAAGACTGAGGGAGGACGACGAGGAGGCTAATGGATAATGGAGAAAAAAGGAGAGGAGGAGGAGAAGAAGAGCAGACGGAATGAAAGGCGATCAGGAGCATAGAAAGGGATAGGAGGCAAGAGACTTAAACCACTTTGTCTTTATCATCGAGGTGAAAGTGCATTAATAAGAACACTAAGCATATATATCTGTGACACGGTAAGCAAATATGATTATGAACTATGCTGGTAAACAAATACCTACATACAAAGCAAACAGGCAAAGTTGACTGCCTTGCTCCACATAGTCAACACACACACACTAAATACGCAACACATCCCTGCCTTACCGCCTTCTGACCAATACGTCCACCAAGAGAAAATAATTCATGTTATTCTTCTACCCACATGTGCCACTCTACTCCACACGAATATCTCCTGTGCATTTACAGTAGTGCATTATTTCGCATAAACAACGACAAGAATAAAACTATACTCCGTCTAGTCTCAGGAGAGAGAACTCACAACGGACTCTGGAAAAAAATAACTGGTGTAATACAGTGAAGGGAATATATACGATTTCTTCACATAGCGAACGTAAGTAAACATGAGTATTTAAGGCCAGCTGATTAGGGAAAAGCAAAGGCGAATCGGAGTACCCCAGAGTCCGAATGAGTTGCCAGTTTCTTCTTTACTGAATTCGGACGCACTGGTTCATTTTTTTCACGAGATGGGTATCAATGGGAAGCAAGAGACGGCTTAACTCCGAATGAGTCGGGATTACGATTACATAACGACGTTTCTCTCTCTCTCTCTCTTCTCTCTCTCTCTCTCTCTCTCTCTCTCTCTCTCTCTCTCTCTCTCTCCTCTCTCTCTCTCTCCTCTCTCTCTCTCTCTCCTCTCTCTCTCTCCCTCTCTCTCTCTCTCCCTCTCTCTCTCTCTCCCTCTCTCTCTCTCTCCTCTCTCTCTCTCTCCCTCTCTCTCTCTCTCCTCTCTCTCTCTCTCCCTCTCTCTCTCTCTCCTCTCTCTCTCTCTCCTCTCTCTCTCTCTCCCTCTCTCTCTCTCTCCCTCTCTCTCTCTCTCCCTCTCTCTCTCTCCCTCTCTCTCTCTCCCTCTCTCTCTCTCCCTCTCTCTCTTCTCCCTCTCTCTCTTCTCCCTCTCTCTCTTTCTCCCTCTCTCTCTTTCTCCCTCTCTCTCTTTCTCCCTCTCTCTCTTTCTCCCTCTCTCTCTTCTCCCTCTCTCTCTCTCTCTCCCTCTCCTCTCTCTCTCTCCCTCCCTCTCTCTCTCTCCCTCTCTTCTCCCTCTCTCTCTCTCCCTCTCTCTCTCTCCCTCTCTCTCTCTCTCCCTCTCTCTCTCCCTCTCTCTCTCTCCCTCTCTCTCTCTCTCCCTCTCTCTCCCTCTCTCTCTCTCCCTCTCTCTCTCCCTCTCCATTTCCGACATGGTGTACAGTATATTAGACATCGTGCAACAAATAAATAAGCTTGTATAAACGATTCATTCAAATACCTTGCTAATTGGCCCGAGTAAGCGATGGAAACAGTCGAAGAAGTCGGAGGAAGACTGAGGGAGCACGACGAGGAGGCTAATGGATAATGGAGAAAAAAGGAGAGGAGGAGGAGGAGAAGAAGAGCAGACGGAATGAAAGGCGATCAGGAGCACAGAAAGGGATAGGAGGCAAGAGACTTAAACCACTTTGTCTTTATCATCGAGGTGAAAGTGCATTAATAAGAACACTAAGCATATATATCTGTGACACAATAAGCAAATATGATTATGAACTATGCTGGTAAACAAATACAAGTCCTACATACAAAGCAAACAGGCAAAGTTGACTGCCTTGCTCCACATAGTCAACACACACACTAAATACGCAACACATCCCTGCCTTACCGCCTTCTGACCAATACGTCCACCAAGAGAATATAATCCATGTTATTCTTCTACCCACATGTGCCACTCTACTCCACACGAATATCTCCTGTGCATTTACAGCAGTGTATTATTTCGCATAAACAACGACAAGAATAAAACTATACTCCGTCTAGTCTCAGGAGAGAGAACTCACCACGGACTCTGGAATACTCCGATTTGCCGAATTTCTCTTAAGGATAAAAATAACTGGTGTAATGCAATGAAGAGAATATATACGATTTCTTCACATAGCGAACGTAAGTAAATATTTAAGGCCAGCTGATTAGGGAAAAGCAAAAGCGAATCGGAGTACCCCAGAGTCCGAATGAGTTGCCAGTTTCTTCTTTACTGAATTCGGACGCACTGGTTCATTTTTTTCACGAGATGGGTATCAATGGGAAGCAAGAGACGGCTTAACACCGAATGAGTCGGGATTACGATTACATAACGACGTTTTCTCTCTCTCTCTCTCTCTCTCTCTCTCTCTCTCTCTCTCTCTCTCTCTCTCTCTCTCTCTCTCTCTCTCTCTCTCTCTCTCTCTCTCTCTCCTTTGAGATATCACATGTCACGCTCGCTTACGTCAAACATAACAATCTGTTCAAATGACACAGGTAGAAAATGTAAACAAAATTACCATATATCTCGATGCTGCAAGGATCGTACTGCGATCAAGACTGTAAACGGTATAATAATAATAATAATAATAATAATAATATATAAAGAGAGAGGAGAGAGAGAGAGAGAGAGAGAGATTCTTTCCCATGATTACTGTTTGGTTTCCATGATCTTTCACTCACCCAAGTCACCCCCCCATCCTCTCATCCTTACAGGACTCAACCCCCTTAACTCCTTAATGAAGGATTTCTCTATCGGAGAGCTGATGCAGAATATGCCCGTCCCTTTCCCTCTCCATCTCATTCCACTCTCCGCCTCTTCTTCCCCCCTTTCCTCCTCATTCTGTGACTCCCTCCACGTCCTGACGCCCTCCCCTCTCCAGCTCATTTCCCCCTTCCCTGACGCTCTCCCCTTCCCTTTCTCATTTCTCTACCCTTACCGCCCTCCCATCTCCCACTCCCCTTCCCCGCCGTTAGCGTGGAACGGCAACATTAGCGTGGCTTGCGGGACAGCAGCTATTTTTGGTAAGGTCAGTCTCTCCCCTCTTTCCCTCCCGTCTCTTCCTTCTCCTTCCTCCTCCCCTCGTCCTTCTCTCTTCTTTCTTCTATCTCTTCCTTTTTTCTTCTCCCTTTCCATCCACTTCCATCAGTTTCCCTCCCTTTCTCCTCCCCTATTCTTCCTTTCAAATTTCTTCCCTTCTCCTCTCTATCTTCAGTATTTTCTTCTCTCTTTGTTCTTATCTCTCCTCCCCCCCTTTTTTCCTCCTCCCTTCCCCCTTCCTCCTTCCACCTAACTTACTCAATCCCTCTTCCTGCTCATCCCTCACCCTCCTTCTTCCATTTAACTAACCCATCACTCTCTCTCTTCTTCTCCTCACCCCCTTCCTTCCTTCCTTCCCTTTCCTTTCTCCCCCACGCCCCCCGCTCTCCTAGTCACATCCTGGAGGAAAAGACAGTGAAAAGGTAGTGATAGAGAACTGAGCTGTAACCTATCATCGTCGGTGTCATGAGGGGAAGCGTTTCGGAGAGTACTATTATTGGTATTTTTTACTATTACCGGTATTTTTATCATTGTTATTGTTAGCTTCACTTTGCCATTTCCTTCGTAGTTTCATAAAATTATACTATTCATTATAATCGTAAAATCTTTATATCATTAATGCTATGATAATAATATTATTATTAGCACTTAAAGTCACAATTATCGTTATCGTTGCATACATTTTATAGACATAAATATTCAAAGGCGCGAGAGATAAGGAAAGCCGTTGCAAAGTACGGGAAATGGGAAAAAAACGATAATGTCTGAACACTTTCACGAACAAGAATACAGAAAAATTATAACCAAACGCCCAAAAATTTAATAACGTAAAAATTTAACAACTGGTGACTTTAGCATCGACAAACGCCAATAATAAATAAATACCACGTTTGAGTTTGCGCTGCTAGGATTCCATTCCATCAGGATCAAGATGCTCGGCTTAAAATCCACTTGCCAGAGACAACATTTTTCGTCGATAGAACAAACACGTAAAAAAGAGAAAAAATTGGTAAAATCCATACTAAAACAGGAGGAGGAGGAGGAGGAGGAGGAGGGGGGAGGAGAAGAAGAAGAAGAAGAAGAAGAAGAAGAAGGAGAAGGAGAAGAAGGAGAAAGAGAAGGAGAAGAAGAAGAAGAAGGAGAAGAAGACGAAGAAGAAGAAGAAGAAGAAGAAGACGAAGAAGAAGAAGAAGTTGAAGAAGAATTAGAAGAAGGGGGACGAGGAGGAGGAGGAAGTAGAGGAGACCTTACTTTTATTCTAAATCTGGTTCTAAATGTCGCATTCATAAACAAAGAGCACCATCGGGAGTTCCTTTATTACACGCCCGATGG